CTAGTTCAACATATAAATGGTCTTAACACAAGGCATAAGCTCATACATAGTCACCTGATAAAGTACTTTCATAATTGTCACACCCTCTCACAAAGTTTTTAGCCTTTCTTTTTATGTGAACTAGCAAATATCAAGTTCTTAATTGCAACTCACACAGTTGCAGACCAACCATTCGCTCACCACATGAACTAAAACTCCTTACTACTCTTAGAGTTTTGCAATTGAAGTTGACTTCCCAATCTCTATTATAGAGACTTACGAGTGATGTTCACCAACTATACCAACATGTAGAATTTACTAGTCATTTGCTCATGGAAAATACAAAAATATTGATTCTTCTATCATCACTTAATACTAAAATTCGTAAATATAAATATTGAAATATTTTTTCATACGGTAATATATACATATATAATAAGATATATATGCTATAAAAGAAAACATCGCTATAAAATTACTATTTCTTATAACATATATAAAAAAATAAAGACTTAACTATAATTATAAAATCAAAGTCGTTTTAAAAAAACCACACATGCCAAAATATAAGAAATCCTGAAATTCCTTATGCTGTCAACACATGTAAAAAAAAAAAAACATTAATCACACTAATGTTGTGTTGGCTTCGAAAGATTTTACTATTAACAGTTATTTGTGTAGACGGATTCGTGGTTTTGTTTAAGTTCGCTTTAAGGTATTTAGAAGAAAGAAACGGATTTATAGAATCGATGGTTAATTCCATCTTTGCTATCTAGCATAGAGTTGAGAGAATTTGATAATATTCATCCTAACCAATTTTGTCACTGTAAAACTATACCTCCTTATATTTATCTTATAAAATGCATACGACATAATGTGATGGATTTAATTCCAATAAAGAAGGAATCAGTTCCAACTAAACTGAAAAATTCATTTAATAATTTTATTAAAAATAATATAATTAAATAGTAATATTATTAATAATAATACTATTAAATAATAATAATAATAATTTTACGCTTCTTCTCTATTTTATCTGGCCAAGATGATAAAATTATTTTTCATAGAAATTTTTTATTCAGATTATTAGTATAATTTAATCTTTTAATTATGTATTTAAATTCAATAATCTTTTACAAAAATATTAAACTTAGTTTTATTCAGAAGATTTATTACTTTATGAAAAATTGAAATTGAAATTAGAATTACAAAAAAAAATGAAATTTTTATTTAAATATATTGTATTAATTATTTATTAATTTTTAATACAACTATTTCAAATTATTTTTGTCAAAAAAATATATTACTCTTAAATATCATTTTATATTACTTATTATATTATTAGTTTTGGTAATTTTTATTTTCTATCAATTAAAAAAAAATTATTTATTACATTGTCAAAACTTACACTAACTTTTATAAATTTTTCTTCCAAAATCACTTTTACTAACTTCCAAATCTCTTAAAAAAAATAACACTTAATTTATTCTCAAATTCTAACAAATCCATACATTCGTATTCCCTCAGATTCATTCCTCGAACACAAATCATCGTCAAAAAATACAATCCGTGCTTTTGTTATAAAATCAAAATATTAATAAACAAACTGTAACTTTGAAATAAATTATATATTATAATAATCATAATTGCACACCTATACCTAAAACAATCGACAGTAATAGTAAAAATCTCAACAACAACAAAAAAAACTTAAACCATATTTATATATTTTATATCTTGTTACTATTACTGCATATCAAATTTGTATCGACGTATAATATCATAAACACAATATACCAAATATTTCTTTATTCTAATAAAATAAAATTTATATGACACTTCCATGTTTCCTTTTATCCTACCGCTTTCCAACCGACACCGTCTTAAAAATATAGAAAATTCTTAAGTCTTTACATAAGAAAAACTTAATCATCACTTTAAATCTTATTTCACATTTATATACATAAGTCCAATTTCATAAATATTTGAAACACCTTTTTTAGAAATTGTCTTGATAGGAGTTGAACTTAAAATCTTTCATATACTCTAATTGAATAATTATTTAACTTATTTCATCATCTCAAACATTATTATAACATTCCAAAATATAGTATTAAAGTATATAATAATCATCACACATTTAATAAAACAAGAACAATAGATAAAAGCAAGAAAATAAAGTTAATTAGTCTTCTATTATAATTATAAAAAAAAATTATTTACAAGATTACTAAACAAAACTATATACATATAGCTGATCTACAAAAATCTAAACATCGTACGTCTCTTCATCAAGAGCATGCTTCACAAAAATCTCATCATTTTCTGCCCACACCCACAGGATGATCATAATCAATATCAAAGCGCATAAACATACAAAAAAATCTGTAAGCTAGTAATAAAACAATTTATAATATATTTAAACATTTCAAACATTATACACATAATACATACATCACCAAGTCAATCAAACACCTTATGCATGGCAAGACTTAGATTAGACTATCTAGATTAGTATGAATATCAAGATATGATAGTTTGTGCACTTGTCGTGGTGAAACAACTAACCTACCCCAAGCTGTCACATAAGGTTAGTTCGTTATCATTCGCCTTAAGCTAATGTAAAACCCCTAGACTAGGACCTCCAACTACTCTCACCACATGACTCACCCCTCTCTACTTGAGAATGAATGACTATTAGAGTGTCAGAATAAACTCCAAGACTTAGCTTCCTATAATCATACTTATAATACTTGAAACCAGCACCATGAAGTTCCTCCTTGGAACTCATTAACATACCTTTTGCATTGATTAAACAAATAAACATACCACTTCATAAATCACCTTAAAACTCATCATAAGTTATCACACAATGCATCACACAAACCAAAAAGTGCATTATGATAACGGTTGAAAATATCATTATTTGTGATGCTATTTTGATACTAAAATAACCCTTTTTGCCTTTGAAGCCTGCTTAAACTCTTGTTTTACTTGAATTTAGTAAATAAGTGAAGAGAAGTTATACTTTATGAATTTGATCACTAATTCCCTTAATTTTTTAGGTCACAAGTCTCGCAAGGGCGCTTGGCTGCCCCCATTTGGGGCGCTGAGCGCCACTATCCTTGTAAGCACGCCTGAGCGCCCCCTCCACGGGCATTGAGCGCCAACAAGCCACATCACAAGACGTCAGGCTGCCCTCAGTCAGGACGCTAAGGGCCAGTCTCTTCACAGTCACGCCTGGGCGCCCTTAGCTAGGGCGTTGAGCGCCCTTAGCTAGGGCGTTGAGCGCCAACAATGTTGGCCAATGATCCAATTTGGTTCTATTTAAGGGTTTCTACACTCTATGGTTCACATCTTTGGACGGCTGAGCACAGAAAAGCTGATTTCGACCCTTTTGGAGGGAGATTGGGCATGCAGGAGTTTTCCTTCTCACTTTCTAGGGTTTTCATTCATTCATTCTTCCATTGTAAGCCAAGGTTCTCCAAGACAATGGAGAACTAAACTCATTTGTTGTTGGGGATGATGTAACCTCTAAACTTTCATGTATTTGAATATGGTTTAAACATTTTATGCTTCTTTCATTTAATACTAGTGATTTTCTCTTGTTCCTAATGCTTGTTATGTTTTGGCCACTCATGACTTGATGTTTGATTTATTTGAGTATTGGGAAATATCTTATGAATCATGATCTAGAGGATTTCACCCAAAGGGAATATTGCCTAGGGATAGGGATAGGACGTTTGGTTGTCTTAAGCTTCTTTTCTTAATGTGGAATTGATTGTTAGGGTTTTCAAGGAATTGTTGTCTAATAATCAAGACTAGGCTTTTTACGTCGAGACATCGGGTTTTAAGTAATTTAGAAATGGACATTAACATTCCAATGAAGAAGATGAATTCTAATATGCATGAAAGTGAAGTAGGTGAAATCTAACCCCAACAACTTCATCATCATATTATCAATTTCATCCATTCATTCTTTGTCAAGCCTCAATTGATCAATTTGCATTCATATTTACTTTTGTTGCATTTGCATATAAACACCAACAAAATAGTTTTTAAGTTTTGATTAATTAAGGTATTACACAATTGTTAAGTAAACATGAGTCTCTTGGGAAATGATACTTGGTCTTACCAATTTTATATTACTTGATACGATTTGGTACACTTGTCAATGTGTTAACACATACCACTTCATAAATCACCTTAAAACTCATCATGACACAATGCATCACACAAACCAAACAGTGCATCAGAAAACATCAGACAAACCAACGCTAAAAATCCAAAACTGGTGTAGGGGCACTTAGCCCCTTATAAAAGTGCGCTTAGGCGCTAGATCCCTAGAACAGGCCACTCAAAGGACGCTTGAGCGAATTCCTCTCGCAAAAAGGACACCCAAGAGGGTGCTTGAACGTGCACTACAAGAAAAATGCAAGTTATTTTCCGATATTTAGATATTACATACAAATTTTGAAAAGTGAATTACATACAATTTTTTCCGGCATATAAAATTCTTATATAAATTTAACTTGCTAGAATGGGAAAATTTGTGAAAAACATCAGTATATAATGATGTATAATCTGTATATTTAAGTAAAAAAAGTAGTTATTAAAAATAAAATATAAAAATTATTTTCCCTCTCTTATGATCATCCTTTTCCCCCAACTTTCCAAAATCTAAAACTTTTACATTTTTTCCCTCTCTTACGGTCCCCCTTTTCCTCAATTTTCCAAAATCTAAAAATTTTACAAATTCCATTCAAAATTTGTCAATAATCTTAGTCACTACTCTAAGTTCTCTCAAAGCACGAACCCTAGGAGGGTTTCTCCTCCTTTCTTCACGCATACAGCAATAGTCCCCTAGACCAGTCATTGTTGCACCTTCTCCAGAGATATACGAAGCCTTCCGAGCTCACTCACCGATATACAAAGCCCGAGTCTGACTCCCTCTTGCTCACTCTCAGTTCAGCCCCTCTAGTTGCTTCCACTCTCGTTCACTCTCAGCTTAGTCCGTCATTCACTGTCGCTGGCTCGCGTTCACTCACAATGCTCATCGCTCAGGCTGTCGCTGATGAAGATCGTTCTTCCTACTTCTTGACACAAAGAGTTCGTTCATTATTCATTGATGTGGTAAGTCATGTTCTTCGTTCATCATTAAATCCCTAAATTCATAAAACCTGAAAACCCTAATTCCTCTCTTCTTTCTTTCTTTCGTTCACTCACGTGAAAGCATTTATGCAGGCTTGACCTTTGTTGTCTAGATCGGATGCCAACACATGTAGTTGGCCTTTCAGGGTAGGGTTTATAATGACCCAATTTAAAAGAACTTTAAAAAAAGACCCTCTTTTTCTAGGGTTCTCCATCGCAAATCAGAATCAAACATCCTACTCTGTTTGACTGCTCTGCTTGATTATGTATGTACGCAGTATGAAGGTGCAGCCAATGAGGGTGGTAGAGGACCGAGTATTTGGGATACCTTCACTCACAAATATCCAGGTAAATATATATGATTCTGATTTTCTCTTATGGTTATACTGAAGATCTTTTCCAAAATTTATATAATTATTGATATATAGTAATTAACATGCAGAAAAGATAGAAGACAGAAGCAATGAGGATGTTGCAGTTGACTCGTATCACCGCTACAAGGTATTGTTGATTCAAAGTTTTTGTTTCTTTTGATGTAATTTATCAACTATCATCACTAATAAAAAGTAGCGTTGAAAGCTTATCAGATATTTGCATCATAGAAGATGAAATAAAGTGTTGCTTTTGTAAATTTCATTTCTTATCACGATTATTGCTACACCTATTCATGATTACCATTAGAAGCTTGTTTATCAAACTCTAGATAAATATATTTAGAACATTCTATCCAAATTAAATGATTATTTATTACTTAGACTAGACCCTAGGAAAGTTCAACTAAAAGAAATGTTAAACATTAAAAAAATTAAAAGAATTGTTTTAGTTTGTTTTCCATCGTTTTCAAATAAACATGTTTTGTTACATCTTATATTTCAGGACAATGTTCAGATTATGAAGGATATGAATTTGGATGTTTACAAATTTTACATGGTCAAGAATTCTTCTGAGTAAGTCAAATATAGATCTATGATTATTTTGGAGTAAGCTTTACTTGTTTGGGTGTTTCATTACAACATGCTTTAATCGCCTTAGTTTTTGTGATTTGATCATCCTGTTGATTTTACACCTTAATTGTAAAGTTCATTTCAATCCAATCCAATGTATTATGAGTTAGAATGCATTGGTTTTTGGCATTTTGAAAGAGTTTAGAAATATTAAAATAAATTATGTAGTATTGAAATGCGCAATTTAATTCTACATCAAATAACACATCTCATGTAATTCACAACATAATTCAAATTTTAAGTTAAACATAATCTTTTAATAAATATACCATAGGTCACAAAGTCCTGGTTAATACATAAAAATAGATGTTAGTTCACAATAATCTCATGAAAAAAATACTTTTTTTATTCCTTTTGCTTTTTAATTTCAATCTAATTACCACAATGTTGTATTGGATTAGTTGATGAACACTCTTAGTATAGATGATCTATATCTAGAATTGTCAAAACGGGTAACTCAGCCCAACCCGACCCGACCCACCACGGATTGGTTACTTAGTGAGCCAACCCAACTCAGCTCATTTATTAGCGAGCCGAAAAAATTCGAACCTGGTTCAACCCACCACGGGTTGGTGGGTTAAACAAGTTGGCTCACTGGCTCACTTAATTATAAGTTTTTTTTAAAATAAAAAAAATTACAATTTTTTAATTCAAATCTAAATAAATTTCACTCTAAACAGAAGTTCAATTCTAAAGACAATTCAAAATAAAAAAATATATATCAAACAATCTAAGAGTAATCCAAAAACAAGCACAAAAGACGAACAAATCAATTTTTAAAATTGATAATTTTTGTATCATATGTCCATACATGATATTAGAGTCTTGAATAGATAAATCTATAATATTTTTCTCTCTTAAAACATCCTTTTTATCTTCATCTACAATATAATAAAAAAAATGCTAACTAATAATATTAAAACACAAAATAATAAATAATTAAATTAAATTAGGTGGGTTTGTGAGCCAACTCGGCTCACCACGGGTTCAACCCGGGTGAGCCATGTTCTAAGTGAGCCGGATTGGAAACTAGCCCGCATAAAAAAATTTCATTTTTTTCAAACCTAACCCGACTCAAACCCGTGTTGAGCTGGGTTGGCTCACGGGTTACAACCCATTTTGACAACACTATCTATATCAGTATTATAGAACTTTGAGTTTTTTAAGTACTGTGTCTCAATTAACTCTCAAAAAGTCTTTCTCCATTTAGCCGTTCAACTTGTATCCTCTAAATGACATTATCAATTTACCCATCTTTCTTGGAGTATTATTTTTTATTTGAATGTCTTAACGAATTCTACCTATAATATTTTCATTTTAAAGCTTTGTTAGACTTTTATTATATAAGGAGTAACAAGTATGATATATCTCCAGAGCTTGATCTGTCATGGAGAAAGGTGCAAGTAGGAAATAGAGAGAAGGAAAGGAGAAGTGCAAGAGGTATGAAATTAAACTTTTATTTTTCTGAACACTTACAACTAAAAAAAGGATTGTTTCCATAAGGCTATGTTATTGTTTAACATGCGATATTGATTTTATTTAACATAGGCTGAGTCAATAATAAGTAACATACAAATATCTATAGCTTTATAATGATGAGGTGTACTATTTTCATAGGGATTTGCTATTCATTGATTAGCCACTAATAAAACGTAGGTTGTATCATCTGTTCTAATCCGAGTTGTGCTTCTTTCTGAAACTATATAAAAGTTACCCATTTTAGGGTGATGAAGCATAGCAATTATAAATGTTAATACGTTAAATGTTTTATTTTATCTGCCATGTGCTTAGATCTATTTGAAATATTATACATTAAGACAAATGGGTCATTTGCAATTTACATAGAGACTTAGAATTAGAATAACAAGTCATTTTCAATGATTGATTTTTTGTATCCCCTAATTTTAACCCACCATCTGTTAGTCAACTTTTAATGGTTTATGAAATTTTCTTTAAATATTTTATTTGTCCATGTATATTGAAATGTGCTTCAACTTAACCTTTTGTTAACTTCTGGTTCAGGCATTGCTTGAGGCCATAGGCTCCGATCGACCATGGCCAAGAAGCAATTACAAAATGCAGAAGTAATTTTTGTAGCTGTTTGTATGACATTGGAGTTGGCCAAGTTTGGAAAACTCTTCATCACTTTCATCGTAAATGTTTCTGACATAGTGCCAACTACTTAAGTTTAAGTTTGTTTATTATGAGTATATATTAAAATTTTGATTATTGAATAGATAAATATTGTAAGATCGAGGTTTGTTATTTATTATATATTTGTTTTAAGTTTTCATGTTTTAATTATTTGTTTTAAGAACATTATATATTATAAATTCTTTACATTTGTATTCATGTAATTACATAATATAAATATATTTAGCAATGTATCTATCAATTTGATAGTTGTATTTGACTCCTATTAGCTATATGGAATTCTTAGCTAGTGAGAGTAAATGTGGGATCATTTAAATTTTTTTTTATAAAACCATAAAGTTATATATGGATTTTTTTTGTATGTAATTACATACAGATTTTTTTATATATAAATTATATATAGATTCTTTTGTATATAACTGTATACGTTCTGTATGTAATTATATACAAAAATATTCTTATGTAAGTTACATACAAATTTTTTTGTATATAAATTATATACCAAAAAATCTGTATGTAACATACAAATTTTTTTGTATATAAATTATATACCAAAAAATCTGTATGTAACTTACATACAGATATATCTGTATGTAATTTATCTACGATCGTTTTATATATGAATTTTTATTTGTATGTAATCTATATGTAACACTATTTTATATATGAATTTTGGTTGCATGTAACTGTGCTTTTTTTTGTAATGGTGACTTCAGGAATTCTAATGCCTTTAATTCTGACCTTAGATACCTTACACACAAGTTTAACTAACTCCTAAGGCCTTCTAAGCATTGAGAAAACTCATAATTCATACCTCTAACTCAAAATGGTTTTCTCAAACTCAATTAATACTTTAAATCATACCAAACTCAATTATATACTTTAAAACACTAAATTTTTGTAACTAATAACTTCAACAAGTCCTAATGGACTTAATAACAACCTTCCAATAATCACAAATAGCTCATAATATCTAATTCAAAATATCACTTGTCAAAACCTTTAGATCTAGCCAAAACTAATTCAAATTCCACATGTCAATTACCAAAGAACCTAACATCAGTTTTCTATCATTCTTAATGTCCAACCATTTTAAATTACCCTAAAACAAACTTACAAGCTCTAATTTTTATCAGATTTTCCCCCTTTGGGTTTTTACCTATCAAAACCTCTAAACTACCTTAAAAACAACCTTAAAATCATACGAATTGTACTAACATTCTATTCTAAACATCATATCAATTTATTCTCTTCATTAAAGTGTTAAAAACCACCATTCTTCTTATTATACCAACATGTCAATAATTCACTTCTTAAAACCTCTATTCTAGACCAAAAACCTACCCTTTTCTTAAAATTAACATCATTCAAGGTCTATAACAATTTAATAACTTCAAAAATACATTCAATCCACCATTTCACTTATTAAAAACAACTATAACATCCAACCTAACAATTATACACATATTTCATAGATTTTTACATAACAATTTCAAGCAATTTAACACACCAAGAGAATCATATCAGTTTACTCATACAATTCAACACATCCTTCCCATTCAATCGAAGATTTTAAACAATTAACCAAGTAAACATCAATTAAACTAACTTTCCTTACCTCACAAATTTTCTATCAAACTCTAGAACCGCATACTTGTTGCTTCCTACTCAAGGAACTATAAATAACCTACGAAATACCGCAAAGAGATCAAGGAGAGTCCTTAAGACCTCTGATCAACAAGGAACTCAAAGAAAAGATCAAAGTACACATGCGATGGGAATCTCCATGCATGGATTCAAATAAGAACTAAGAGCAAAAAATGAGTTGAAACTTACTTGATCTATTGTAGGAACTGATCGGATATGAACATAGACTTCATTGTTATGATCGATTAGACACCTCTTGATCATCAAAGAGATGACTCAAAAGTTATAACTCTTAGAGAGATGGTAAAAAGTTTAAGAATGTTTTAGAGAGAAGGTAAGTGTTTAAGATAATGAAACGAATTTAAGAAATTCTATTTATTAAATCAACATATTTTAAATTATAATACTTGGTCTCATTATTTTAAAACATTTACCAACTAAAATATTATACTTTCTAAATTCTTACAATTATAACTTAAATTTAACTCATTCTTTTCATTATTCTATTTAATTAAATTTTGTAAGGTCTTACATATATAAGACATATTTTTTATTAAAACTTATTTTGTAATAAAAAATATTTTGTAAAATGATATATGAAATAAAATAAGTATATATATATCTAAATTAACTTTAATTTTTCAGAAAGATAAACACACATGTATGTTTAAAAATAAATTTATGTGTTTAATATATTATAATTTTCTTAAACACTTAAAAGGATTTACACTATAAATATTTTACTTTTAATGGCATTAATATTTTAATTAATATTATAAAATTGAGTGAATACTTTAAAAAAACTATAAAAAATATTATATTTATTGAAAAATGTATTTTAAACATACAAGAGAACATATTTTTTTAAAGCAATGAGAAATATATCTATGTAATAAATATTTTAATATATATGTATATTTAAATGCAAACAAGGTACGGAATGTACAATTTTAACAAGGTACGGAATATACAATTTAAACTAAAAAGATATAATATTTTTAGGGTTAAATATGTTTTTATTTCCTTAAGTATTACACGATTTTGAATTTAGTCCCTACTCGAAATTTTGATTGCTTTTAGTTCTCATAGTTTTGAAACTGTTATAAATAATTCCTAATTTTGGATGACATTAACTTTTGTTTGATGTGGCTAACGGCCAACCCACGTCTGATGTCAGGTATGAGTTTATTCTCTGTCACGTTTTCTTTTCTTTTTATTCCAAATTTGCACACAAGTCCCTAATTTCTTCAATGTTTACACATTAGAAGGAACACTGCAATGAGATTAAGTCATTGGCAGCCATCTCGCAATGTATAGAAACATAGAAGGCGAAACCCAAATCGCCTTTGAACCTCAACGCAAGGCCGCCGCCACCACCTAGCCTCCATGCCGCCACAAAAACCCTAAGCCAACCACCTGCAAACCCCGAGCAGAAGCGCCATTGTCATCTCCTTCAAATCGCATCGTCATCGTCGAGAGAGAAAACCAGAGCCACCAGATGGCGGTTTCATCTTCACCGGACCACCTCGTTCAAGCTAGCGCGTCAACCTCCAAAAACCTGCAGGAATCAAACCAAGAAGCTAGAGACATAAAAAACCCATCACGAAGCCACTATCCCCATTCTCGCAAGTCATCAACCTCTAGACCTAAGAGAGATTTGCGCAACAACTCGCACCATCTAAGCGCCTCCATAGCAATTCTGCTCCACAGTGAAGCAAGTCGGGCTCCATCAGAGAGCAACCCGCTCTTGTGTTCTTGCCATGACGACATAGGCGCAACTTCTTTCTTGGTGCTCAATTCAAAACCCTAATTTTGGATAAAGGGTGAACTGACGTGTGGCATGGTTTCACTGGACAAACTCACTTTAGTCAACCCTGCACCTAGTTGGTCAAATAGAGGCTATTATGCAATTTTGAAAAGAAGTTAGGGGCTGAAGTGTAAACATTGAAAAAATTAGGGGCTTGTGTGCAAATTTGGAATAAAAAGAAAAGAAGACATGGGAGAGAATAAACTCATACCTGGATCATATGTGGGCTGGTCGTTAGCCACGTCAAATAAAAGTTAACGTCATCCTAAATTAGGGACTATTTATAACAGTTTCAAAACTATGAGGACTAAAAGCAATCATAGTTTCGGATAGGGACTAAATCTAAAATCGTGTGATACTTAAGAGACTAAAAATATATTTAACCCATATTTTTTTTACGATGGTATAAAATTATATTAGTTTATTCTGTTTTCTGTTTGGCTATGGTTTGAGAGTAGTGTAGAACATAAGATAACCTTAAATGATTTCAGGTAGTGAATACCATTTATGTTAATTTATTTTGATATTGCTTAAAGTTTCTAATTCTTTTAATTAAGTATTATATTTTTAAAAACTTTATTATATAAATTGAGGAGTTATGTAGTTGTTATACTTAATATTAATTATGAACATGAGACTCGAACCGGCCGGTTTAGTTATTGGTTGACAATTTCCTTGGCGGCACTTAATGCGAGCAAGCACATGACATTCTTAAATTTTCTCTTCTTTTGATTCTACCTACCTTTCTGATACACAAACATTAAAGATTTCTCAATTCTCGAAAACTCACAGGTCATAATTGTTTTCACTTGCTATCTTTTATTGCTCTCAACTGTCTTCTACCTTTCGCAGGTATAAGATAGCCCCTTTTGCATGCATGTCTTCCACATCAACATTTTAGTTTGACAGAAAAGCTGTGTGTGTGTGAGTGAGTGAGAGAGAGAGAGAGATGGGAAAATGGGGTACCCTTGTGTTGCTTGTACTAGTTACATTGCATGCAAGTGCTGCACGTAATGTGCCAAAGGGTAGTGGTGAAAATGAAGAACAAACTCTGGGCGTGCATGCAAGCGCGCCACATACAGAGTCTTCAATGAGCCAGGGTGTGGGTGAGAAGAAGAACTTTTTGGTTGGTGGGGTTGGAGGATTTGCTGGGATGGGTGGTTTTGTAGGAGGTGGCGCAGGGGGGATTGGAAAGGTTGGCGGAATCGGTGGNCAATCAAACACCTTATGCATGGCAAGACTTAGATTAGACTATCTAGATTAGTATGAATATCAAGATATGATAGTTTGTGCACTTGTCGTGGTGAAACAACTAACCTACCCCAAGCTGTCACATAAGGTTAGTTCGTTATCATTCGCCTTAAGCTAATGTAAAACCCCTAGACTAGGACCTCCAACTACTCTCACCACATGACTCACCCCTCTCTACTTGAGAATGAATGACTATTAGAGTGTCAGAATAAACTCCAAGACTTAGCTTCCTATAATCATACTTATAATACTTGAAACCAGCACCATGAAGTTCCTCCTTGGAACTCATTAACATACCTTTTGCATTGATTAAACAAATAAACATACCACTTCATAAATCACCTTAAAACTCATCATAAGTTATCACACAATGCATCACACAAACCAAAAAGTGCATTATGATAACGGTTGAAAATATCATTATTTGTGATGCTATTTTGATACTAAAATAACCCTTTTTGCCTTTGAAGCCTGCTTAAACTCTTGTTTTACTTGAATTTAGTAAATAAGTGAAGAGAAGTTATACTTTATGAATTTGATCACTAATTCCCTTAATTTTTTAGGTCACAAGTCTCGCAAGGGCGCTTGGCTGCCCCCATTTGGGGCGCTGAGCGCCACTATCCTTGTAAGCACGCCTGAGCGCCCCCTCCACGGGCATTGAGCGCCAACAAGCCACATCACAAGACGTCAGGCTGCCCTCAGTCAGGACGCTAAGGGCCAGTCTCTTCACAGTCACGCCTGGGCGCCCTTAGCTAGGGCGTTGAGCGCCCTTAGCTAGGGCGTTGAGCGCCAACAATGTTGGCCAATGATCCAATTTGGTTCTATTTAAGGGTTTCTACACTCTATGGTTCACATCTTTGGACGGCTGAGCACAGAAAAGCTGATTTCGACCCTTTTGGAGGGAGATTGGGCATGCAGGAGTTTTCCTTCTCACTTTCTAGGGTTTTCATTCATTCATTCTTCCATTGTAAGCCAAGGTTCTCCAAGACAATGGAGAACTAAACTCATTTGTTGTTGGGGATGATGTAACCTCTAAACTTTCATGTATTTGAATATGGTTTAAACATTTTATGCTTCTTTCATTTAATACTAGTGATTTTCTCTTGTTCCTAATGCTTGTTATGTTTTGGCCACTCATGACTTGATGTTTGATTTATTTGAGTATTGGGAAATATCTTATGAATCATGATCTAGAGGATTTCACCCAAAGGGAATATTGCCTAGGGATAGGGATAGGACGTTTGGTTGTCTTAAGCTTCTTTTCTTAATGTGGAATTGATTGTTAGGGTTTTCAAGGAATTGTTGTCTAATAATCAAGACTAGGCTTTTTACGTCGAGACATCGGGTTTTAAGTAATTTAGAAATGGACATTAACATTCCAATGAAGAAGATGAATTCTAATATGCATGAAAGTGAAGTAGGTGAAATCTAACCCCAACAACTTCATCATCATATTATCAATTTCATCCATTCATTCTTTGTCAAGCCTCAATTGATCAATTTGCATTCATATTTACTTTTGTTGCATTTGCATATAAACACCAACAAAATAGTTTTTAAGTTTTGATTAATTAAGGTATTACACAATTGTTAAGTAAACATGAGTCTCTTGGGAAATGATACTTGGTCTTACCAATTTTATATTACTTGATACGATTTGGTACACTTGTCAATGTGTTAACACATACCACTTCATAAATCACCTTAAAACTCATCATGACACAATGCATCACACAAACCAAACAGTGCATCAGAAAACATCAGACAAACCAACGCTAAAAATCCAAAACTGGTGTAGGGGCACTTAGCCCCTTATAAAAGTGCGCTTAGGCGCTAGATCCCTAGAACAGGCCACTCAAAGGACGCTTGAGCGAATTCCTCTCGCAAAAAGGACACCCAAGAGGGTGCTTGAACGTGCACTACAAGAAAAATGCAAGTTATTTTCCGATATTTAGATATTACATACAAATTTTGAAAAGTGAATTACATACAATTTTTTCCGGCATATAAAATTCTTATATAAATTTAACTTGCTAGAATGGGAAAATTTGTGAAAAACATCAGTATATAATGATGTATAATCTGTATATTTAAGTAAAAAAAGTAGTTATTAAAAATAAAATATAAAAATTATTTTCCCTCTCTTATGATCATCCTTTTCCCCCAACTTTCCAAAATCTAAAACTTTTACATTTTTTCCCTCTCTTACGGTCCCCCTTTTCCTCAATTTTCCAAAATCTAAAAATTTTACAAATTCCATTCAAAATTTGTCAATAATCTTAGTCACTACTCTAAGTTCTCTCAAAGCACGAACCCTAGGAGGGTTTCTCCTCCTTTCTTCACGCATACAGCAATAGTCCCCTAGACCAGTCATTGTTGCACCTTCTCCAGAGATATACGAAGCCTTCCGAGCTCACTCACCGATATACAAAGCCCGAGTCTGACTCCCTCTTGCTCACTCTCAGTTCAGCCCCTCTAGTTGCTTCCACTCTCGTTCACTCTCAGCTTAGTCCGTCATTCACTGTCGCTGGCTCGCGTTCACTCACAATGCTCATCGCTCAGGCTGTCGCTGATGAAGATCGTTCTTCCTACTTCTTGACACATAGAGTTCGTTCATTATTCATTGATGTGGTAAGTCATGTTCTTCGTTCATCATTAAATCCCTAAATTCATAAAACCTGAAAACCCTAATTCCTCTCTTCTTTCTTTCTTTCGTTCACTCACGTGAAAGCATTTATGCAGGCTTGACCTTTGTTGTCTAGATCGGATGCCAACACATGTAGTTGGCCTTTCAGGGTAGGGTTTATAATGACCCAATTTAAAAGAACTTTAAAAAAAGACCCTCTTTTTCTAGGGTTCTCCATCGCAAATCAGAATCAAACATCCTACTCTGTTTGACTGCTCTGCTTGATTATGTATGTACGCAGTATGAAGGTGCAGCCAATGAGGGTGGTAGAGGACCGAGTATTTGGGATACCTTCACTCACAAATATCCAGGCAAATATATATGTTTCTGATTTTCTCTTATGGTTATACTGAAGATCTTTTCCAAAATTTATATAATTATTGATATATAGTAATTAACATGCAGAAAAGATAGAAGACAGAAGCAATGAGGATGTTGCAGTTGACTCGTATCACCGCTACAAGGTATTGTTGATTCAAAGTTTTTGTTTCTTTTGATGTAATTTATCAACTATCATCACTAATAAAAAGTAGCGTTGAAAGCTTATCAAATATTTGCATCATAGAAGATGAAATAAAGTGTTGCTTTTGTAAATTTCATTTCTTATCACAATTATTGCTACACCTATTCATGATTACCATTAGAAGCTTGTTTATCAAACTCTAGATAAATATATTTAGAACATTCTATCCAAATTAAATGATTATTTATTACTTAGACTAGACCCTAGGAAAGTTCAACTAAAAGAAATGTTAAACATTAAAAAAATTAAAAGAATTGTTTTAGTTTGTTTTCCATCGTTTTCAAATAAACATGTTTTGTTACATCTTATATTTCAGGACAATGTTCAGATTATGAAGGATATGAATTTGGATGTTTACAAATTTTACATGGTCAAGAATTCTTCTGAGTAAGTCAAATATAGATCTATGATTATTTTGGAGTAAGCTTTACTTGTTTGGGTGTTTCATTACAACATGCTTTAATCGCCTTAGTTTTTGTGATTTGATCATCCTGTTGATTTTACACCTTAATTGTAAAGTTCATTTCAATCCAATCCAATGTATTATGAGTTAGAATGCATTGGTTTTTGGCATTTTGAAAGAGTTTAGAAATATTAAAATAAATTATGTAGTATTGAAATGCGCAATTTAATTCTACATCAAATAACACATCTCATGTAATTCACAACATAATTCAAATTTTAAGTTAAACATAATCTTTTAATAAATATACCATAGGTCACAAAGTCCTGGTTAATACATAAAAATAGATGTTAGTTCACAATAATCTCATGAAAAAAATACTTTTTTTATTCCTTTTGCTTTTTAATTTCAATCTAATTACCACAATGTTGTATTGGATTAGTTGATGAACACTCTTAGTATAGATGATCTATATCTAGAATTGTCAAAACGGGTAACTCAGCCCAACCCGACCCGACCCACCACGGATTGGTTACTTAGTGAGCCAACCCAACTCAGCTCATTTATTAGCGAGCCGAAAAAATTCGAACCTGGTTCAACCCACCACGGGTTGGTGGGTTAAACAAGTTGGCTCACTGGCTCACTTAATTATAAGTTTTTTTTAAAATAAAAAAAATTACAATTTTTTAATTCAAATCTAAATAAATTTCACTCTAAACAGAAGTTCAATTCTAAAGACAATTCAAAATAAAAAAATATATATCAAACAATCTAAGAGTAATCCAAAAACAAGCACAAAAGACGAACAAATCAATTTTTAAAATTGATAATTTTTGTATCATATGTCCATACATGATATTAGAGTCTTGAATAGATAAATCTATAATATTTTTCTCTCTTAAAACATCCTTTTTATCTTCATCTACAATATAATAAAAAAAATGCTAACTAATAATATTAAAACACAAAATAATAAATAATTAAATTAAATTAGGTGGGTTTGTGAGCCAACTCGGCTCACCACGGGTTCAACCCGGGTGAGCCATGTTCTAAGTGAGCCGGATTGGAAACTAGCCCGCATAAAAAAATTTCATTTTTTTCAAACCTAACCCGACTCAAACCCGTGTTGAGCTGGGTTGGCTCACGGGTTACAACCCATTTTGACAACACTATCTATATCAGTATTATAGAACTTTGAGTTTTTTAAGTACTGTGTCTCAATTAACTCTCAAAAAGTCTTTCTCCATTTAGCCGTTCAACTTGTATCCTCTAAATGACATTATCAATTTACCCATCTTTCTTGGAGTATTATTTTTTATTTGAATGTCTTAACGAATTCTACCTATAATATTTTCATTTTAAAGCTTTGTTAGACTTTTATTATATAAGGAGTAACAAGTATGATATATCTCTAGAGCTTGATCTGTCATGGAGAAAGGTGCAAGTAGGAAATAGAGAGAAGGAAAGGAGAAGTGCAAGAGGTATGAAATTAAACTTTTATTTTTCTGAACACTTACAACTAAAAAAAGGATTGTTTCCATAAGGCTATGTTATTGTTTAACATGCGATATTGATTTTATTTAACATAGGCTGAGTCAATAATAAGTAACATACAAATATCTATAGCTTTATAATGATGAGGTGTACTATTTTCATAGGGATTTGCTATTCATTGATTAGCCACTAATAAAACGTAGGTTGTATCATCTGTTCTAATCCGAGTTGTGCTTCTTTCTGAAACTATATAAAAGTTACCCATTTTAGGGTGATGAAGCATAGCAATTATAAATGTTAATACGTTAAATGTTTTATTTTATCTGCCATGTGCTTAGATCTATTTGAAATATTATACATTAAGACAAATGGGTCATTTGCAATTTACATAGAGACTTAGAATTAGAATAACAAGTCATTTTCAATGATTGATTTTTTGTATCCCCTAATTTTAACCCACCATCTGTTAGTCAACTTTTAATGGTTTATGAAATTTTCTTTAAATATTTTATTTGTCCATGTATATTGAAATGTGCTTCAACTTAACCTTTTGTTAACTTCTGGTTCAGGCATTGCTTGAGGCCATAGGCTCCGATCGACCATGGCCAAGAAGCAATTACAAAATGCAGAAGTAATTTTTGTAGCTGTTTGTATGACATTGGAGTTGGCCAAGTTTGGAAAACTCTTCATCACTTTCATCGTAAATGTTTCTGACATAGTGCCAACTACTTAAGTTTAAGTTTGTTTATTATGAGTATATATTAAAATTTTGATTATTGAATAGATAAATATTGTAAGATCGAGGTTTGTTATTTATTATATATTTGTTTTAAGTTTTCATGTTTTAATTATTTGTTTTAAGAACATTATATATTATAAATTCTTTACATTTGTATTCATGTAATTACATAATATAAATATATTTAGCAATGTATCTATCAATTTGATAGTTGTATTTGACTCCTATTAGCTATATGGAATTCTTAGCTAGTGAGAGTAAATGTGGGATCATTTAAATTTTTTTTTATAAAACCATAAAGTTATATATGGATTTTTTTTGTATGTAATTACATACAGATTTTTTTATATATAAATTATATATAGATTCTTTTGTATATAACTGTATACGTTCTGTATGTAATTATATACAAAAATATTCTTATGTAAGTTACATACAAATTTTTTTGTATATAAATTATATACCAAAAAATCTGTATGTAACATACAAATTTTTTTGTATATAAATTATATACCAAAAAATCTGTATGTAACTTACATACAGATATATCTGTATGTAATTTATCTACGATCGTTTTATATATGAATTTTTATTTGTATGTAATCTATATGTAACACTATTTTATATATGAATTTTGGTTGCATGTAACTGTGCTTTTTTTTGTAATGGTGACTTCAGGAATTCTAATGCCTTTAATTCTGACCTTAGATACCTTACACACAAGTTTAACTAACTCCTAAGGCCTTCTAAGCATTGAGAAAACTCATAATTCATACCTCTAACTCAAAATGGTTTTCTCAAACTCAATTAATACTTTAAATCATACCAAACTCAATTATATACTTTAAAACACTAAATTTTTGTAACTAATAACTTCAACAAGTCCTAATGGACTTAATAACAACCTTCCAATAATCACAAATAGCTCATAATATCTAATTCAAAATATCACTTGTCAAAACCTTTAGATCTAGCCAAAACTAATTCAAATTCCACATGTCAATTACCAAAGAACCTAACATCAGTTTTCTATCATTCTTAATGTCCAACCATTTTAAATTACCCTAAAACAAACTTACAAGCTCTAATTTTTATCAGATTTTCCCCCTTTGGGTTTTTACCTATCAAAACCTCTAAACTACCTTAAAAACAACCTTAAAATCATACGAATTGTACTAACATTCTATTCTAAACATCATATCAATTTATTCTCTTCATTAAAGTGTTAAAAACCACCATTCTTCTTATTATACCAACATGTCAATAATTCACTTCTTAAAACCTCTATTCTAGACCAAAAACCTACCCTTTTCTTAAAATTAACATCATTCAAGGTCTATAACAATTTAATAACTTCAAAAATACATTCAAACCACCATTTCACTTATTAAAAACAACTATAACATCCAACCTAACAATTATACACATATTTCATAGATTTTTACATAACAATTTCAAGCAATTTAACACACCAAGAGAATCATATCAGTTTAATCATACAATTCAACACATCCTTCCCATTCAATCGAAGATTTTAAACAATTAAACAAGTAAACATCAATTAAACTAACTTTCCTTACCTCACAAATTTTCTATCAAACTCTAGAACCGCATACTTGTTGCTTCCTACTCAAGGAACTATAAATAACCTACGAAATACCGCAAAGAGATCAAGGAGAGTCCTTAAGACCTCTGATCAACAAGGAACTCAAAGAAAAGATCAAAGTACACATGCGATGGGAATCTCCATGCATGGATTCAAATAAGAACTAAGAGCAAAAAATGAGTTGAAACTTACTTGATCTATTGTAGGAACTGATCGGATATGAACATAGACTTCATTGTTATGATCGATTAGACACCTCTTGATCATCAAAGAGATGACTCAAAAGTTATAACTCTTAGAGAGATGGTAAAAAGTTTAAGAATGTTTTAGAGAGAAGGTAAGTGTTTAAGATAATGAAACGAATTTAAGAAATTCTATTTATTAAATCAACATATTTTAAATTATAATACTTGGTCTCATTATTTTAAAACATTTACCAACTAAAATATTATACTTTCTAAATTCTTACAATTATAACTTAAATTTAACTCATTCTTTTCATTATTCTATTTAATTAAATTTTGTAAGGTCTTACATATATAAGACATATTTTTTATTAAAACTTATTTTGTAATAAAAAATATTTTGTAAAATGATATATGAAATAAAATAAGTATATATATATCTAAATTAACTTTAATTTTTCAGAAAGATAAACACACATGTATGTTTAAAAATAAATTTATGTGTTTAATATATTATAATTTTCTTAAACACTTAAAAGGATTTACACTATAAATATTTTACTTTTAATGGCATTAATATTTTAATTAATATTATAAAATTGAGTGAATACTTTAAAAAAACTATAAAAAATATTATATTTATTGAAAAATGTATTTTAAACATACAAGAGAACATATTTTTTTAAAGCAATGAGAAATATATCTATGTAATAAATATTTTAATATATATGTATATTTAAATGCAAACAAGGTACGGAATGTACAATTTTAACAAGGTACGGAATATACAATTTAAACTAAAAAGATATAATATTTTTAGGGTTAAATATGTTTTTATTTCCTTAAGTATTACACGATTTTGAATTTAGTCCCTACTCGAAATTTTGATTGCTTTTAGTTCTCATAGTTTTGAAACTGTTATAAATAATTCCTAATTTTGGATGACATTAACTTTTGTTTGATGTGGCTAACGGCCAACCCACGTCTGATGTCAGGTATGAGTTTATTCTCTGTCACGTTTTCTTTTCTTTTTATTCCAAATTTGCACACAAGTCCCTAATTTCTTCAATGTTTACACATTAGAAGGAACACTGCAATGAGATTAAGTCATTGGCAGCCATCTCGCAATGTATAGAAACATAGAAGGCGAAACCCAAATCGCCTTTGAACCTCAACGCAAGGCCGCCGCCACCACCTAGCCTCCATGCCGCCACAAAAACCCTAAGCCAACCACCTGCAAACCCCGAGCAGAAGCGCCATTGTCATCTCCTTCAAATCGCATCGTCATCGTCGAGAGAGAAAACCAGAGCCACCAGATGGCGGTTTCATCTTCACCGGACCACCTCGTTCAAGCTAGCGCGTCAACCTCCAAAAACCTGCAGGAATCAAACCAAGAAGCTAGAGACATAAAAAACCCATCACGAAGCCACTATCCCCATTCTCGCAAGTCATCAACCTCTAGACCTAAGAGAGATTTGCGCAACAACTCGCACCATCTAAGCGCCTCCATAGCAATTCTGCTCCACAGTGAAGCAAGTCGGGCTCCATCAGAGAGCAACCCGCTCTTGTGTTCTTGCCATGACGACATAGGCGCAACTTCTTTCTTGGTGCTCAATTCAAAACCCTAATTTTGGATAAAGGGTGAACTGACGTGTGGCATGGTTTCACTGGACAAACTCACTTTAGTCAACCCTGCACCTAGTTGGTCAAATAGAGGCTATTATGCAATTTTGAAAAGAAGTTAGGGGCTGAAGTGTAAACATTGAAAAAATTAGGGGCTTGTGTGCAAATTTGGAATAAAAAGAAAAGAAGACATGGGAGAGAATAAACTCATACCTGGATCATATGTGGGCTGGTCGTTAGCCACGTCAAATAAAAGTTAACGTCATCCTAAATTAGGGACTATTTATAACAGTTTCAAAACTATGAGGACTAAAAGCAATCATAGTTTCGGATAGGGACTAAATCTAAAATCGTGTGATACTTAAGAGACTAAAAATATATTTAACCCATATTTTTTTTACGATGGTATAAAATTATATTAGTTTATTCTGTTTTCTGTTTGGCTATGGTTTGAGAGTAGTGTAGAACATAAGATAACCTTAAATGATTTCAGGTAGTGAATACCATTTATGTTAATTTATTTTGATATTGCTAAAAGTTTCTAATTCTTTTAATTAAGTATTATATTTTTAAAAACTTTATTATATAAATTGAGGAGTTATGTAGTTGTTATACTTAATATTAATTATGAACATGAGACTCGAACCGGCCGGTTTAGTTATTGGTTGACAATTTCCTTGGAGGCACTTAATGCGAGCAAGCACATGACATTCTTAAATTTTCTCTTCTTTTGATTCTACCTACCTTTCTGATACACAAACATTAAAGATTTCTCAATTCTCGAAAACTCACAGGTCATAATTGTTTTCACTTGCTATCTTTTATTGCTCTCAACTGTCTTCTACCTTTCGCAGGTATAAGATAGCCCCTTTTGCATGCATGTCTTCCACATCAACATTTTAGTTTGACAGAAAAGCTGTGTGTGTGTGAGTGAGTGAGAGAGAGAGAGAGATGGGAAAATGGGGTACCCTTGTGTTGCTTGTACTAGTTACATTGCATGCAAGTGCTGCACGTAATGTGCCAAAGGGTAGTGGTGAAAATGAAGAACAAACTCTGGGCGTGCATGCAAGAGCGCCACATACAGAGTCTTCAATGAGCCAGGGTGTGGGTGAGAAGAAGAACTTTTTGGTTGGTGGGGTTGGAGGATTTGCTGGGATGGGTGGTTTTGTAGGAGGTGGCGCAGGGGGGATTGGAAAGGTTGGCGGAATCGGTGGTGGAGTCGCTGGAGGGATAGGCAAGTTTGGTGGAATCGGTGGTGGGGTCGGTGGAGGGATTGGGAAGTTTGGTGGCATTGGTGGTGGTGCCGGGATTGGTGGTTTCCATGGCATTGGTGGCGGTGCCGGAATTGGTGGCTTCCACGGCATTGGTGGTGGTGCCGGAATTGGTGGCTTCCATGGCATTGGTGGTGGAGTTGGAGGCTTAGGTGGTGCTGGTGGTGGTTTAGGTGGTGGTGGTTTAGGTGGTGGTGGTTTAGGTGGTGGTGCTGGTGGTGGTGCTGGTGGTGGTTTAGGTGG